GACTGCAGGCACCCTCCGTATCCGGACACTATATGTCCATTTTGCGGCCACGAGTGTTATACTGAATGTATGGTCTTTCGTGGTGCCCATTCTTACTTCATGTTGGCCTGGAATCGACATGCCATTTGTCGGGAGTGTTTGATGGGCATGCTCAATGCCAGCCGTCATGGCAATTTGTTGTATCTAGAATGCTCAGCTAGGTCTTCCATGTCCTCATCCATCTCATCCATACAATGTATGTCCTGTCTGTCATCAAGGACAGACTGCCTTCTCTTATCCTTTCCTATGCATTCATCTTCATCCACTCCTTACTTTCCCTTATTTTCCCTTTGTATTTCTTTACTTTGTCTACTTTCCATCTGTTCTCTCTGTTTATCCCCTCACCCTTAACTCTGCCACGTTTTCACAGCATACGAGTGCGCTGGTATGGCATACGACGACGCGGCGAGCGTTGTATGTATAACATAGTTGCGGCGCACCTCAGTGCACGGATCTGCACATGCGCACCGCACCGCACAGTGCACCACGCGCATGCACCGGGAAATTAAGGTCCAAAAAAAAAAAAAAAAGTAGGGTTTTCGTAATGTGCTACAGCACCCACCCCGGCAAAAATGTTCAACTCGCCGTGCGAGTTCGGAAACTGTCCGCGCCCTTGGCCCGAAAAAAACAATTTGGGCAAGCGCTGCCGAATTTTGTATTCTGCAGGCCACTCCCCCAAAACTTTCAAAATCGCGGATTATGAAAATAGGGCTCATTGAGCCTCATTCCAGTTTTCGTTTTTACGCGGGATTTGGTAACTCGACTTCCCCTTTTCTTCTGCAAATCCCACACAGTGGTGGACGAATTTGCAAGAAGGTTAGAATTGCCCAGTAGTGCCATGCCCCACACTGTCTCGCAGAAGGCACACTTCATGTTGGTGAGTCCAGCCGACCACCAATGTATGCTGAAGATTGGCATTCAGGTCTGCATGTCGGCAGTTATGAGTTAGGATGAAGATGCCTGTAGCTCTCTCGTTTTTCTCTTTTGTTTTCTTCTGAATACATACAGACGCCTGTAGCTCTCTCGTTTTATTCTTTTGTTTTCTTCTGAATACGTACAGTGGCCCAAGGGGCCTCTGGCCACTACTCACCACATGCACAAAAGACATACCATATGACGGTGTATGGTCCATGTTTTAGCAGAAGATTCATTCTGATGTTATACATTTGGTGAGTAGCACTGAGTGGTGGAGCTAGGCCCTGAGAATCACGTGGAGACACAAACAGGGTCTAGCTGAGTTGGTGACCCATAACTCCCGAGCTACAGACCTGAACTCGCACCCATAGAATATATTGGTTGTCTGCTCCCACCTCTCCCACATGTGACGCAGCCATCCTGCTTACTGAAGTGAAGGCACTCAATGCCTCCAATGTCCCAGTGCATTGTCGGAGCCATTTGAGTTACCTGCAGGGGGCCCCGAATTGACGTTAAGGGGACCCTTAGCTCTCTCTCTCTCTCTCTCTCTCTCTCTCTCTCTCTCTCTCTCTCTCTCTCTCTCTCTCTCTCTCTCTCTCTCTCTCTCGGCATATATATATATGATATATATATATATATATAGCAGCACGTATAGCAGCACGATTAGTAACAATGTCACCTCTTAATCCATCTATATTAAGCTCGGCACATATCTGAGATATTTTGATTCTTAACTGGTAGTCTATTTTCTGAAGTACAGTTTGTCACAGCCCCTCGTTTGTTGTCCTCTTCTCCCTCTCTGCCTACGGTTTACCGGGCAGTTCTATTTGACGATATATATATATATATATATATATATATATATATATATATATATATATATATATATATATTTCTGTGCACCTGGCACACCACCCACAGCGCACGCACTGCGCACTGCGCACAGTGCGTGCACTGGAATTCCAGCACACAGTGCAGTGCGCACCGCCCCGCCACGCCACGTGCTGCACACTGGTGCGCCGCAACTATTTTATAAATGTAAGCTCACACTCAACTTCATCAACATGGCAAGCCTTGTACGTGACTGACAGTTTTCCCAAACTCCAAAAAATTCGGAGGCTGGGCCTGATGACGTTCGCTGTCGATAAATCTCATCGGCTGAGGAGGTATTAGTGGTTTCAAAAGAATGATACAAAGGAATGGCTTCGGTGTGCTCTTCATGTTTGCCTTCTTTATATTTATCATTTGTTTTGCAAAGTGCACTCTTTTAGTTCATAGATATGTGAAAATGTATACATGGCCACATCCGATTTCTGGGAGCGGCCAGTGACCTATATATATATTGTCACATAACTACAAACTAAAAGAGCGCACTTTGTGAAACAAAGAATAAAAACAAAAAACGGGCACATTGGAAAAATAAAAACAAAAACAAAAAGAAAAAGCAAGGGCAGATTGAAACCATTAAATTTCTCATTCTTCTTTGAACTCCACCTCCACTGTGCCTCTCACGTGCAAGGCTCGCCACGTTGATGAAGTTGAGCGC